GACTTATGGGCAACTCTTGGTATTTCGGTAAATTTCTGACACTATTTATTAATTCATCATAAAATTGTTTTGGTGTAAGAATAGATGGATGAAGAGAGTGACTTTTAGTAAACATTATTGCATTAACCAAATCGTCAATTTTGAATGATAAAGTAAGTAAACTTGAGTATAGTTCATTACAGACTATATCCATTTTGGATTCTATTATTAACTTATTAGAAACTACAGATAGGTTCTTAACACTAGCTGACAAATTTTCAATAGCGTCATTCAAACGTGCTTCATTTACGGTAATGGCTGTTATGGTTTCATTGTAATGCAAAAGTGCCGTACTAGTCATTAAGATGTTGTCCTTAAGTAATGATGCAAGTTTTTTATCATTACGTTGAAGGGTTTGAATGGCGTTACCATATTTAATAGCGTCGTCTTCGTCCATTGTACCGATTATTTGTTTAAAAGCGGTTCCAATTCCGGCGAACCAGGCTGATCTTTTATCGCGATTTGAAATCAAATGTGAGATAGAACTATAATCTCGTTTTATGTCACTGAGTCTTGAAACCAGGGGTTGTAATAAACTATTACATTCAATATCTGAAATATAATCATTTTGTTGGCAAAGATACCTAGCAGTTCCCAGGATGGAATTTATATTGTCTATGTGAGGTTTTATATATGCTATGTCTACCGGAACCAAAACGTGAAGGTCATCACTGGTGATTCTAACTGTTCCAATTGGGTCGAAGTAAATTCCTGGATTCTCGTCTATCTGTTGCACTATATCTGAAGCGACAATGGTGAGGCTGATTGAAACCGTTCTGTAATATAATATAAAACTACATGTTATAATTATATAATAGAAGGAGAGAATTAGTTAAGACTAATTCTTATATTAAAATAAAATGCCTTAAGGGCAGTCCTAACTAACTAAGCTTGGGTTTGCAAGCTTCAGTTCGTCGTAGTGATGCTTCACATGTCGACGATTGATAAGTATCGATAAGGTGTTTCCTCCGTGTATTTTTACGACCTTATACGGCCCTTTCCATATCGGGGCTAAGGCTTTGCCTAGCCGGGGGTGATTTTTAAGGTAAACAAAATCACCAATTTTGTACTTCACTGCACGGACATGTTGATCATAATATGTTTTAGATCTTTCTTTGGAGGATGTTATATTTTCTATTGCTTTTTGGCGGGAAACCTTAAGTCGGTGATGAAGTGTTTTAATATATTCAGGGTATGTGAGGTCTTCTCGTAGATCATATACTGAATCTGGAATGAAGGGTTTGTGCCCAAAAACTAATTCATATGGTGTAAACTTAGTTGTAGAGTGAACTGCACTATTGTAAGAGAGCATGGCTGTATAAACAAATCTATGCCAATTGGTTTCATTATCATTAACATATGATTTAAGGTACTCTTTGAGGGTACTGTGGCTCCGCTCTAGAGCACCTTGTGTTTGTGGATGGTATGGAGCTGACCAAATTTGTTTTATTTTCAGAAATTCACACGTTTTCTTGAAAAGTTCTGCAGTAAAGTTTGTGCCCTGATCAGTTAATATAGACTTTGGAATTCCAAAAAGTGATATGAAATGAACTAGACATTCGCAGGTTTCTTCAGCTGTTGCGTTGGAAATGGGGTATGCTATAGAGAATTTTGTTAAATCGTCCTGTAGAGTGAGTATGTATCGTAACTTGTTAAGTCCAGCTTCAGGCAAGGGACCTACTATATCGAGACTAACCCGTTCAAAAGGACGTGTGGATGTTGTTGTTATTTGCATGGGTGCACGATTAATCTGTCTTAAGGCTTTGTTGGATTGACAGGCTGAGCAGTTTTTTACGTAGTGTTCTATGTCTGATTTCATGTTTTTCCAATAATATCTTTCTCTAATTCTATTGAGCATTCTTTCAGTACCAAGGTGTCCGGCAATAGGAATATCATGGTTCTCTTTCATGATCTTTGAGATCTCACTGGGTGTAGGATAAATAATGTTGTTATGGTATATATTTACAGAGACAGAAGTGTTGTTAAAAAGGTATGTTAGCATATTATAAATTTTGACAAAAGAATGTTTTTCAAACGCATTTTTGAAATCTGATATAGCGAATTGTGAAACATGAGCCTCGGATAGTAGTTCAGTTTTTACATTTTCTAATGTTCGGAATATATCGGGGTAAGTTGCTTCGTCAAAGTAATGTACTTTTGTGAAAATGAAATAATATATTTTATTATTACAAGGGATTTTTTGATATCTAAAAAGTTCTTTTTCAGCTGCAACATAGGAGTTTGGATCATCTACTTTGGATAAGATTTCTTGCACATACGGATTTGAGTCATCTAAATCCAATGAAGTGGGGATAAGTATTATTGAACAGTTACTTTTAGTTAAACTTTCATTATGTTCCAAAATGTTTGTGTCAAAAGATTTATTTTTATCTCCAATTGCTTTAAGAAATTGACTGTAGTTACTGTTTTGTACATTATGTTCATTAATATTTATATTTTCTGTTTCAGGTGCGGTAGCGTGAGAAGGTGACGAGACGGGAGAACCGGTATTGGCTGATGGTGGTGGACGAGCGGCAGGACCTGGTGTTTCGACAGGTAAGGTATCAGGTTGTGGAGAGGGAATTTCTAAGACGTCGAAATCAACGTTGAGATCATCACTATGAGGGCTGATTTCAAGGAGTCCGAAATCATCAAGATTAATGTCGAGCAAAGGATCTTGGGATGGTGCTGGATCATTAAGTGGAGGATTTCGATTACTGGAAGAAGCAGGAGGATCATCGTTGTGAAAATTCTGTGGCTCAGTTGAATGTTGTACAGGATTTACTGGATAGCGGGATAACGCATCAGCGTTACTGTTAACTCTACCCTTTTTATATTCGATCTCATAATCAAACTCTTCGAGTTTAAGTCGCCATCGGACTAATTTTGATCCAGGATCTTTACAATTGAAGAGCCATTTGAGAGGCTTGTGATCCGTTAAAATTTTGAAACGGTGCCCATATAAGTATGGACGGAAGACTTTAGTTCCCCACACGATTGCTAAACATTCTTTCTCCGTTACACTGTAATTACATTCCGCTTTGTTCAAGGTTCGGGACGCATATGCTACTGGTTGATCTTTTCCAATGGGACCTTGGGACAGGATTGCGGAGATTGCGTGGTTGGATGCATCACAGGTAAGGTTAAATGGCTGACTGAAATCTGGGTAGGATAAGATAGGAGCAGTGGTAAGTTTTTGCTTTAGTTCATCGAAAGCAAGTTGTTGAGGATTTTCCCATATAAAAGGTTCGTCTTTCTTTAATAAAGAAGTAAGTGGTTTGGCAATCTTTGAAAATTCTGGAATAAATCTTCTATAATAAGAAACGAGCCCGAGGAAGGATTTGACATCTTTTGGGGATTCAGGAATGGGGAATTCAGTAACTGCTTTAATCTTGTCTGGATTCGGTTTGACACCTTCATTTGTTATTACATGACCAAGATAAGTGACTTCCTTTCTGAGGAACTCACACTTATCTGGTTGTAGTTTTAAATTGAATTTCCGAAGTTTGTGGAATACTGACGCTAAATTATTTACGTGTGAATTTAAATCTGGCGAATAAATGACAATATCATCAAGGTAAACAAAGCATTGTATACCATTGAGTCCGGATAGGGCGGTATTCATTAATCGCTGAAAGGTTGAAGGTGCGTTTTTGAGGCCGAAGGGCATTCTGGTGAACTCGTAATGCCCTTGAGGAATATTGAATGCTGTTTTGGGCGCATCGTTTTCATTTAATTTAATTTGATGGAAACCTGAGGCTAGGTCTAAGGTTGAGAAATATTTGCTATTTCCAAGTTGATCTAATATTTCATTAATTTGAGGTAAGGGATATGTATCACCAATGGTAATATCGTTCAATTTTCTATAATCGACAACGACGCGCCATTTGCGTTGTCCGGATGCATCGAGCTTTTTGGGGACCACCCATATAGGGGATGACCATGGAGAATTGGAAGGTTTGATGATTCCATCATTGAGCATCTTATTGATTTGAGTATCAACTTCTGATTTGTGACATTCTGGGAATCTGTACGATTTGACGTGAATAGGATTTTGAGAAGTTGTCGTGATATCATGTTTTATAGCGTCAGTATAGGTAAGTTTTTCGTTAGGAAGATGAAAAATATCTGAATACGTAGAGCAGATTTCATGAAGAGCTTCAATTTCTTCTTTATTCATATGAGATGTACGGAGGAGTTGTAGAACTTTTTGAGTCCGTTCGAAACAGTCATAGGAATTAGAGAATTGAGAATTAATTGGTTTGACATTGTCTTTGATAGGTTCTTCCAAGGGAGTAAGTTTTAGTTTCAGGTTCGAGTTAACGGTTGTTGGGTTTTCGGATGTATTCAAAATTGAAATATTGATTCTGTGATTTTGTTTTACTTTTGTTACACAATTTGCAACAAACAATTGGTCAGAAATATGTTGGTCAAGAACAAGTCCTTCTTTTACATCTGGATTTAATACGGAACATTCAATGACGGTTTCTGATCGTGGTGGAATCACGTACACGGGGTCATTGAAGTAAAGATTCAAATTGAATTGATTGATCATAAGGATATTTTTGTTGTAATTAATATTACATTTTAAATTGCTGAGGAAATCGTTTCCAATGATTCCATCGTAGGGGAGGTGAATATCTTTAACTATGTGGAATTTGTAATTAATATAATTACAAGGGATTTTATCAGACAAATAAAGAGTTAAATTTAGATGTCCAAGAGTTGGAGTTGGTTTTTCTACAGGATCAATTCCTTTGATCTGAATAGGTTCTCTGATTATTTTGGGTCGATTTAGAATTGAAGTTCTTTTCAAAAGACTGATGGAAGAACCTGAGTCAACTAGTAGACATAGAGGTATATCAGATACTGATGTTTGGATTAGCACATGTGGTAACGATTTTTTTGTAGGATCAGTTAGGATTTCGTAGACTTCTTTGTTTGTATCCTTACAGGATTCAGGAATTGTGGGTATATATTTTTCTGTTTTGATATTTGAATGGACACTTGTTTGGGGCTGGTTACCCGTGTGGTCCTGGATTTTGGAGGATTGGACACTTGCTTGGGGCTGGTTACCCGTGTGGTCCTGGATTTTGTAGGATTGGACACTTGCTTGGGGCTGGTTACCCGTGTGGTCCTGGATTTTGTAGGATTGGACACTTGCTTGGGGCTGGTTACCCGTGTGGTCCTGGATTTTGGAGGATTGGACACTTGCTTGGGGCTGGTTACCCGTGTGGTCCTGGATTTTGGAGGATTGGACACTTGCTTGGGGCTGGTTACCCGTGTGGTCCTGGATTTTGGAGGATTGGACACTTGCTTGGGGCTGGTTACCCGTGTGGTCCTGGATTTTGGAGGATTGGACACTTGCTTGGGGCTGGTTACCCGTGTGGTCCTGGATTTTGGAGGATTGGACACTTGCTTGGGGCTGGTTACCCGTGTGGTCCTGGATTTTGGAGGATTGGACACTTGCTTGGGGCTGGTTACCCGTGTGGTCCTGGATTTTGGAGGATTGGACACTTGCTTGGGGCTGGTTACCCGTGTGGTCCTGGATTTTGGAGGATTGGACACTTGCTTGGGGCTGGTTACCCGTGTGGTCCTGGATTTTGGAGGATTGGACACTTGCTTGGGGCTGGTTACCCGTGTGGTCCTGGATTTTGGAGGATTGGACACTTGCTTGGGGCTGGTTACCCGTGTGGTCCTGGATTTTGGAGGATTGGACACTTGCTTGGGGCTGGTTACCCGTGTGGTCCTGGATTTTGGAGGATTGGACACTTGCTTGGGGCTGGTTACCCGTGTGGTCCTGGATTTTGGAGGATTGGACACTTGCTTGGGGCTGGTTACCCGTGTGGTCCTGGATTTTGGAGGATTGGACACTTGCTTGGGGCTGGTTACCCGTGTGGTCCTGGATTTTGGAGGATTGGACACTTGCTTGGGGCTGGTTACCCGTGTGGTCCTGGATTTTTGTATGATTGATGGTGCCATTGATAGAATAGGGTCGCGCTAAGGTCGTAAATTTGGGCTGCACGAGACACCTGCGTGAGCCCACTACTCGTTTAAATGATTTGTTGGGATTTGGTCATCGTCTTCGGGCTGTTGAATTGTTGTGTCCTCATAAATATAGGGTTGAATTTCAGGATCAGGATATTCGGAATTTTCAACGCAATGAACGCGTGCTGGTTGAGACGTTCTAGATCTCTGGTTCTGATTAAAGCTTGGACGACTGGAATTTTGCGTCGGATTTTGAGAAAACTTGAAGCGGTTGTTATTGTATTCTCTCCTTCGACAGTTTTCAATTGTGTGACCTTGGTTTTTGCAATATCTGCAGAAATTTGGGTTTTGGTTAGGATTTTGATTGGGATTTTGATTGGGATTTTGAATATTATTTATTGTGGGTCTAAATAAATTATTTCCCGTATTGTTAAATCGGGGACGCGGTGATGGCCCGGCCACAGGAGCAGGATTATGGCGGGTCATCAATTTTTGGATCTTTTCTTCTGAAATGGCTAGGTTTACGGCTTCATTTAATGTTGCGGGTTCTTTCATTCTGATAATATTTGAGATTTTGGGTGTTAATCCCAGAAGGAAGGTATGGAGAGCTAAATCTTCCATTGCAGCGATTTTTCCGACTAATTCTTTTGATTTTTTATTGGATAGTGTGATTTCTGTTAATAATTTTGAAAGGCAAGTTTCAATCCGTAACCCGAATTGATTAACGGGCTCAGAATTTGACTGCCTACATTCCTGTAATTCAGCAAGGAGGTGAGTGTAGTGCTTCTTTTCTCCGAATTGGGTTTTCAGGAATTCACTGAGCTGGTCCCAACTGTCGAAGTCTTTTATAGAGCAAGCTACCTCAGCCTTGCCTTCGAGCTGGCTCAATATATATTTAAATAAAATCGGCTTTTGTGTTGAATGTGCGAGAGAGTTGGCATTATTGCAGTTACTTAGAAATGAATTTAGTTTAATTTAATATGTTGTTACTCTAATGAATAATGTTAATGCTATGATATAGTTATTTTTCTAAAAATTATTCACTGGATGTTGTTGAATTTATCACTGAATTAGATCTTGAACCGAAGTAAATAAAAAGTTGTTTTAACTCACAGGATGATGCACTTCATTTTACGATGCACTAAACGGGATTCGAAGTGTTGACCTTGGAACTGGAACACTGTAGTTGAACTCGTTGACACTGGACACGTAGACACGACTTGCAGAGCAGGATACAGCGGGATATAGAAGAGCGATGCGCGACCACTGGAGAGCCGGGATAATTTCGGCTTTGGATGAACCGGGATACTTCCGGCCTCTGGATGATGATGAGTCCAAACCGGGATGACGACGATGATGACGACGATGATGATGATGACGGACACTGGGCTATGATAATTCGGGTGATGACGATGTTGGATGCGTGGCACTGCTGATTATTTTTGCACACTTGGAGACGTCCTTGAGATGCACTTTTACATCCCTTCTCGCTGACACCAATGTTATGACGGGATATTAAAATGTCTTTTTAAAAAACAATTAATTTTTATTAACTGAAATACGTTTACTCTAAACACAGAATTTACTTTGAATATCCGAACTGACTCTATTTTGAATGCCCGAAAGTTAGAGGTCCTTACTGGATGGATGCCCGGTCTGAACTGCGCCTCCGAACTGGAGGTTCAGGCTCGCTGCATCGTGAAAATGCTGACTCTGCAGGTTAGGATGGCAATACAGCAGTTTAGCCAACATTTTCAAGGTGTAACAGTACGAACGAGACGAAAGCGGGGAGATGTGCGCGTGAGTGCGAGGGAGAGTCGCATTCCAGCGAAGTGCGCAGTTAACTCGACCTGTGTGCCTACCATGAGTTTACGTTAGGTGTGCTCGCTAGCGACTGCTTAAAAAAATGACATTTAAATGTATGACATATTGTGCAGCGCCCCTAGCGGCTACTTTCAAGAAATAAAATCTTCATAGAATTTTTTGACGTATTCGCTAGCGAGCTCACCTAACGTAAAGTCATGGTAGGCACACAGGTCATACAAAGAAGACGAAGATAGAGTCACTATAAAGGAGGAAGTACACATATCAACCCAGAAACAGATCGTAACCGTATCAACTCGAGGCTGTCAGTATTCTTTGTATGAAACTCCGTACTGGAAAACGCACACTTATTCGCACCGTAACGTAAACGCTTAGCCTCGCCGCGTTTGCAGTTAATTCTCGGGCCCAGAACAGACGGTGAAACGCAACTGCAACGAAACTTCGCAACTTTGTGATGATTCTGATGAATGAAACTGAAACTGAAAGTTTCAAACTGGTCGCGTCATGTGTGGTCTCTCAACCAACGCTATGGCAGAAACTTAGATGCAAATCAAAAGTAACTAGCAGTTGTAGTTTCGTTGCAGTTGCGTTTCACCATCTGTTCTGGGCCTTAGGCGAAAAGGTGTTGATCCCTTTCCGGGTTGGTCCTTTAAGGTCAGCATCACTTGACTGCTACTGCTTCTGCCCATTGATAAACGAGTAGTCCTTGGTCATTGACCTATCAACCAGGTTTATAAACGTAGCGCCTAACAGTTATTATTCCAAATACAAAACCAACTAATACCAAGAAAGTGCAGTCCCGAGATACTTCCAAGAAATACAACAAATTCATGATAATCCCTCGCTGCAATATCTTCTCAGTTACGTAATCGCCTCCTAACGTTCGGAACTATAAAGAGCTCTCATAAAATCCATTTCCCTGTATTGTACACTTAAGGGAGGGTAACTCACTTAGGTTTATTAGGGTTCCTTTCGTCTTCGAAAAGAACGGAACCCTGAAAAGAATTGTTATGTCTGTTTGTGACACTATGACAGACATCAGAAGAAATAATATCTAGTAAGTTTGAACAGAAAACACCGAATGTTTTACATACAATAGTAATACTTGGTGTGTAGTCTTCAAATTGTCAGTTAAATATAGTGTGTATAAAGCGTATCTGAATTTTTAAAACTATTTTGCCAAAAATAGATTGTTTCTAAGTTAACTATGCCGAAACTCATGACGTGACGTGACAAAAATATACGAAACCCTCTGCTCGCGAGTTTGATTCGCATTTGGCCTGTTTTTATTATTTAATGCTTGCGGTACGCTGGCTGGACGCGCCGGGGTCGCGCAGGGAGCCACCGCCGGCCCGCAACTTTATAATGTTGACGCCGTTTTGTGACTCTATCCAAGGAGCACGATGGCTATGCCGGCATAATATACTAACTTTGCAAGCATTTCATGAAGCGTAAAACTTTACGGCCGAACGTTTTGGCGACTTACCGTCAAAGTAAGGTTAACACCTAAACATTTTACGCTCACAAAGAACGTAAGGATAAAACATGAAAAACAGCAAAAAATTCAAATCTACGTAAGCTAGGCATAAAGTTACGAAGAAACCGATAAAATGCAACGACACGTTCATTTGGTAACCATCATGCTTAGTTCGCTCTAATTCATTGCACGGAGTAACACAAAGTATCAAGTTCCGAAAATAAACTTCTCTCGAACAAACTTAGTTTTAACGCTAGCGGAAAGTAAAGTTTTCTCATAGTCGCAACATCTGCGTCTACCAATATTACTTCTGATGAAGCTGCGCCACATTTGTCTGCAATTTAATGTACGACTTTTCTCGTACTATTTGATGAAATGAGCTTATGTTAAAGACTGTCCCTGAACCTAATTAGCCTAAAGACAAATCGTAAACGCCTCGCAAACAAATATTTTGCTACCGTGAACATAAAACGTTCCGATTCATAAATTACAAATCCCTTAAATTTGCAACAGCTTACCTGGCACATTTTGGGAGTTGTTAACACCTGAACCAATTATATGCAATTACCTTTCGCTTGATTACGTTCTTAAATAGCTTGGGTAGTACTTACGATAAGGCCGGCTACGTTAACCAGACCCTCGGTAATGCCGCCGTTCGCCCAAAAGGCCTTGTATTTATTACGTCAACGCAGCGGCAGGGTAGTTCGCGCTAAACTGGTCAAGTTATAAGTACGGGCGTTGTTTATATCACCACATTGCAGCCGAGAGAGATTAACACGTTCGCCCGAAACTAGTCGGAATTAGATTTTACTGTTAGTTGTAGGAAACCTAATAATTGGCCGTTTTGTAACGTTTCGTGTAATCGCGGTATTGAGTTTGAGGCTGAGTTAAATGGAACGCCAATATCTGGTTTGCCGTTAAAGAAATTAGTAACAATTTGTAGCTGCCGGCAACAGTTGTTTAGAAGCATTCAAAGCTTTGAATTTAGCGAACGTTTCAAACGAGTCGGGGCCATTGTGAGTGGATCGCAAACTTGTAATTGAAGCGGGAGCGGGAACGTTCTGAGATTGCGTGGAAAAAACAATCACAACGACGATCGCGTTAAAATTTTATGGCCTGCCGTTGCATTTTCTATTTCACACGCCATTCTATTAACCGATTCAAATTGCTGATTGAGTGAAGCTATAAATTCAAGCACATTTTCAAAGTTTCATTGGTTACTTAATGACGTAAATCAATTGAAATACTTTTTATAGGCTGTCAAAACGTGACTCTTTCATTTGTTCAATTTAATTAACTAGCTGTTTATTGTTTTCAAGCTACTAAAAATTTAACTTCGTAGCAAAATGAAAACCAACTCTGTTTTTAGGAATAGTTTGAATTAACCATAATTGGTTGAAATGGAGTCAATTACCAAATTATCGCGATATTAAGATCTGGAGAGCACTAAGAAGTCCTACTGAAAGCCCGGACCAGAAAATATAATTATTTGAAACGTTGGAATGTTAAGAAAGGAACCCGTTAAAATCCGCTGGTAACAGTGAATAAAATTAGCTTTGCATAATATTCATGAAATGAAAATAAAGTTCTGAGTTACAGAAGAACAAGTTTCAGCGAAGAAAGATCTTATTACGGAACAGTGGTGAGCTACACCACAACTGACGTAGCCCATATCTCGTGTACACGCTCAATCTTTCAGCAGATATTTCTTAATAATCCGTAAAACAGCATCAGGTCTG